GAGATAGCACATACCACGCTAAAAGGAATAGACACAATCGGACGACCGCGCTGCCGAATGGCCAAGTTTAGCTTTTCATTCGAATCGCGCATAATCGGCTGTCAACTGAGATCCAGCCGTGTGGCATTGCCCCGCAGGTGGGTCTAGCGCAATTCCTAAATCAGCGTTGATAGCGTCTCTGATACGTTTCATGTAGATGCACAATCAAAGCTTTCAAACGGTGAAACCAGCCGTGACGTCCTATCACAGTATGTAATGTATGTATGTAATCTCAACAGTCTAGTAACTAGACATAGAGCCAACAAAGCCATGGAAATCAGTGGATAAGAGACAGTCATTGAGTCATAATCATCGTGGCATGCTAGTTGAAGGTGGGCAACACACTTCAGCTAATATGCTGCAGGAAGAATGGAACATTTTGACAAAAATACAGAACAAAACATTTTTAGTTTGTTTGTCACACGCCGATTTTTCTCTTTTTTTGTCATTTTCAATATTGGTAGTATGAAACATGTGTATCAATACAACACTGTACACAATGCTTCCACTGATTCCGGTTGCGGGCCATGTCTTCAAGAGTCCTAAACCATTAGCACTCCTCATCTTTGGTCCCCATCCTGGAAGACGTACGGGTCCAACAGCGGCTAGACACGACGTCAGCGATTTTATGTGCTGCCGCCAAGTGGAAGGCTGACCACCCCGCGGTCGCTTCCAGCCAGGTCCTTGACGAGCGAATAGAGCGCAATGCGGTAGACGCTCAGGTGCCATGCGTAGGACATGACCGAGCCATCTTAACTGGTGCAACAAAACCAGTTTGTTGAAGGAAATGCTTGCATTCCCCAAGATGCGACGTCGAACGTCATTACTATTAACTCGATGTTGCCACCAAACACGAGCGATCCTCCTTAAGCAACAGTTATCGAAGGCAAAAAGACGACGCACGTCTTCCACGCGAATTGGCCAGGACTCGCACCCATACAACAATACTGAGCGAACTGATGCGATGTAAACGCGGCCCTTTAGTGAGAATGAGACGTCGCGACGACGCCACAAGTGCCACAGATTGACAAATGCTGATCGAACTTCAGCGATACGAAGAGAAACTTCTTTGTTGATAGTGCCGTCAGCGGAAACACAGCTCCCAAGGTAGACGGAACTATCTACCTGTTCAAGTTGTGCACCTTCGAGAGTGAGCACGGGAACAGGTGAGAGCCAATTCTTGAGCACTACTTTACACTTCGATGGGGCGAAGCTCATGCCATACTTAGATGCTTCAACCGCCAAACAATCCAGAATGAGTTGCATACCCTGAGGATCGTCACCAAGTAAGGCGATATCATCAGCATAATCTAAGTCGGTCGCGCGTTCACCCGGTAGAAGCTCTGCGCCAAAATGTTGGAAACGTTCTAGAGCATTCGACAGAACGTCTTCGATTGCGAAGTTGAAGAGGAATGGGGACATAGGGCAGCCGTGTCGCACACCGCTATTGACAGCGAATTGCGAGGAAAGCTTGCCATAGACCCTCACTCTGCCGGATGTATGTAAAGTGCTCGTAAGATGGCGTTATATTTCTCTGGCACCCCTTTCTTTAGTTAGCAACGCCATAAAGCAGGTCGATCAACGGAGTCAAAAGCGGCACGTATGTCTAGGAATGCAACGATACTGGGCCTGTGATAAATGTGGCGATATTCAAGGAGTTGGCGGAGCGTGAAGATTTGATCCAGGCGTCCGCGGCCAGGACGGAAACCAGCTTGTTCTTCACGGTAGTATGATTCACGTACTGGGGATAGTCTACGAAGTGGAATGGATGCCAACAGCTTAGAGGCAACCGAAATAAGACTAATGCCGTGATGATTTGCACATGAAGTGCGAGCGCGTTTCTTGCAAATCGGGACAATAACTGACTCGCCCCAAGAGGAAGGCACTTTCTCTTCATGCCAAATTTTTGCGGACAGCGCGGTTAGCTGGTTAATGACCGCCACACAGCCACACTTGAATAGCTCCGGAGGAAGTCCGTCTCAGCCGACAGGCTTGAAGCGCTTCAAGCGTCGAATCTCGAGGTAGACTTCTGCTTCGCTGGGTTGATTCAGTGGGACGAGCCAGGGTGGACAGCAAGGTGTACTGCATGTACTGATGGATGGTGGAGGCCAGTTGAACTGCGAGTGAAAGTGCTCGGCTGGCTAGCCGAACAACCTCCTCGTGGTGTCAGCTGGGTGGTTCGGGTTTAACCCGTTCCAGCAAATAGTTCGGCGGCAGTGTTCCAGGACGTGGTGGGTTTCGCCTGGCAAGCGGACTCCCTATAAAAAGCCACAAATGTCTGCTTAACAACACTGTGACGTGGCGGTCGTGACTCGCCACAAAATAAAGTCACTGCCCCGTGGATATCCTGGTAATTCTCTCCAACTCACGGACACCAATCTTCTACTCGCATATTGATGACAATATCAAACATTGAAGATTGGAGCAGCACAACTACAAGCACAAAATACACAGCTACATACACCTACACACACAATGACACACACATACATACCCCCTACACAAACACAAACTGCTATGGCAAACATATCGGAATTTTGCACATTCTTGATCATGCATTGTATTCTCAACTTGATCATGCCTGTAAAGGCTTGCCTCACCTTGTTGAGAATAAAAGATTTATTTATTTATTTATATACGCCTCTGTTGGTTGGTGAGCGGAGGCTCACCCACCTCACAAATGACTTCACTGACACCAGGATTCCTGAGGCCAATGGACCGAAGGAGTTGGAAAAGCCTGCGAGTGTTGCCAGAGAGGGCAGCGGTCGCCATCACTAAAACACGCTCAGACCACCATGTCTCGCGATCCTTGCGTAGGCTTTGCTTGAACAGCCGGTTGGTAGAACGGCGCCGCTTGTTGCAATTGTATTCCGCGGGGATATCTTTGCGGCGTTCGAAGAGCTCCAGAGAACGAGCAGAGATCCAAGCCTTCAAGCGGTGTCGAGTTAGGCCGCAGCATGACTGTCCGGAAATGGTCAGCGCTTTCCGTATACAAGTCCAGTGTTGTTCCACTTCTCGCGGTGGATTGCAACTGAGTGCAAATGCCAGTGAAGACTGATAGCTCTCCTGGACAGAGGAATCAGTTAATCTGTTTACATCAATCTTGCGGTGGTTCGTGTTTCGGGATCCTCCAAAACACATACAGATTTTTGTGCAGACCAGAGCATGATCTGAATCAACGAAAGTAGACCAAAAGAACCTGCAGTCCAGTACGCTGCCGCGCCATCTGAAGCTAATCGCAATGTGATCAATTTGAGACCACGGTTGTGTTGGCGAAGGGGGACGCCACGTTGCGCAACGCTTCTTCGTACGCCTGAAGCTAGTGCTCGAAAGAAACAGACGGTTGTCCTCGCACAATGTGAGAAGTCTCTCTCCGTTATCAGAGCGGTTCTCATCGAGCGCGTGATGACCACCAAGGTGGCGTTCGTATGGTAACAGGCGGCCAACCCGTGCATTAAAATCCCCAGCAAGGACAACGACATCCGACGTTTTAGCATTAGTCAAGAGCTGATGTAGATCTCGGTAGAAATTGTCCTTGACCGAGTCGCCACTGCAGTCAGTTGGAGCGTACACAGAGATCACAAACAAGTTGCGTCTCTCTTCGCAGTGCCTATTGATTCTACATGAACCCCGAAGCCGAACTGCACATAATCGGCTGTTAATCGGGAACCAGTCCAGTAGTGCCGCCTCGGCCTTGCCACTTAGTGATATACCTACACCAGCTAAACCCGCTGAGCTTGCTTCTGAATCTCCAGAAAGACGCAGGTGTTATCTGGCTTCGTGGTCAGTGGTGGATGTCATTGTAAGCACAGTGCTGGGATCTTGCAATCGGGTTTCTGAAAGGCAGCAGACATCAATGTCTAGGGAATCTAGGGTGTGCGCTAGACCGGTTTGCTGTCCAATCTGCATGAGTGTCCGGACGTTGAAGCACGCTAGACGGAACGAGGATCGCGGACGAAGGAGAGCCATAGGTTGAACTCCTTGATCTGCGGAGCAACCGGAATCGCAGCCAGATTGTTGAACAGATGAATCGGGTAACCGAAAGTGAGGATTGTTAGCAAACAAACAATTGGCGTATGGTGGAGTAGCGTGAAAGTGAGTAGCAGGAACAGTAGCTGATGAGCGCGTTGTAGTACAGTCCATGGTTTTGTGAGAGGGCGTGGTACTACCCGGTTGCCCAAGCCGAAGTAGGGAGTTGAGTTAGGGGACTCCACCCCGAGCCTTTGGTTAAATAACCTACCCACAAGGCAGCGGGGCGAATTTAGGGAATCGCGCCCATTGGGAGGCGTTGACTGATTGATCAGCTCATGCGTCTTTGTTTGGTAGATTACCAAACAGGGGCCCAGTACTCCCCATGAAGTCAGCACAATTGCTGGAATACAATGCCTCACGGAGGTGGAACATTGTTGCCGAACACTTTGCTGGAACGGGGTACACCCGAACCACCCAGCTGGCACCACGAGGAGGTAGTTCGGCAAGCCAGCCTCAGTCTTGATGTGAGTCTCCGTGCAACGATTGTCATAGCAGCCAACATGAATTCCAAACAGGATATTGACTCGGCTTATATCACAATTGTACCGTGCATGCTCGAATCTGAACTGCTCGCCGATGCGGCTATAACTTCTGCTTAAACTGGTTCGGTATTGGGGACCCGAGCAACATACAACGTGTATCAAGGGTTGAGATCTGACAGATCTGGAATTAACTAACTGGTTATTGGAGTGATATAACGGTTACAGCCGCCAGCCCCTTGACATGTACTCGCTTCCAAAGGGCAAAGACAGCGTTAAGTTGTTGAATTGCTCTCCAACAGGTTATATGAGTGAAGTTTTGCAATTACTCAAGCCAATTACTGCTCTTTTTTACTTGTGCTGTATGCCGTACAACTTTCGATTTCGCGTTCCTTTAAATGTAACTGTCATTCGCTAACCAGACATCGTCTCTCTGACCGATAATTTTAGGAATGCCAAAGAAGATACACATTAATCAACTTCCGAAGACCCCAGGTGGTAAAAATATATCGAAGAGTATAAACATATCTGCTGATGAAATCGAAATTGATGACGCGATTACGGTTAAACGATCCATGTTACGAGTATGTGCTCCAGGCAATCCATGGTTTGAAGGTGAAGGTGATGGGGAAGATGAGACCGAGAGGTTTATTCCTCCGTTCTTTATTGAACTTAGTCAACTTTTTAGACCGAAATTTATCGTACGAAAATCCATGGATTTGAAGAAGATCCGCAGGATCGATGATCGAGTAGCTGCCATAGTCTCCAGCCCCATGATCGACGCTCGACCCAGACGCTTGAGTTCTGCTCACGTCCCGGTAGAAAGCTCCCCATATACTCGAGATGATTTCACTCCGCTGAAGGTGTCAAATAAAGGTGACTTGGCGCATGCAACTTCCCGGCGACTATCGCAAATTATTCTGCGTCGATACGCTTCATCCACTCCTTTTCCTGACACAGCCCAAAGCACATTGTTGGACTCTCCCACGCGAAGAACCGAATCCGGATCGACTGTTTCTCAGCTTCATGCTCTTCCTGTATCCTCTCTTACTACTTCTGCTCTTGAAGAGTAAGTTTTATCAGTTAGCGAATTAATTAGTAGTCTAGTTTTTAATCACTTCGCTGTAAACAACGCAATCCCCTTTCCCTTATAGACTGTTTAATTGATGCGCTCTACAAGGGTCAATCACCCAAACTATATAGCCTCCGAGAAGAGGGAATTTCGCATTACTCGTTCCCAACACGTGTACGAATCACACGTAATTAATGCCCCTTACCAACTTCATTGACCACTACCATAGAATATTCAGCAGTTGACAGGTCAGCTGCCTTACGTAGCATTTTCCAGCTTGGTTTCAATTGTCCTTGTTTGTTTCGCGCACCAAACAAAATACATCAAGGTTGCCTGACCTCTTCCTTCGTCGAAGATATAATTGGAGAATTTGACTGATTATGATGTTCCATTTACTTCTCCTGGGGGTTCCGCTAGATGACCAACTGTTACACTTAGGGTACGCAGGTGAGCAGTGGTCTCTGGATCAGAGCCGTCCCCTGTATATTATGTTTCTGAATAATGCAACATATCCTGCCGCATGTGCTTCGCTCCTACAAAATTAGTGCTGCTCTCACTTACGTGGTCCGACACACTGCCCTAATCTGACAACTATCTATTACCTATCCGGATCGGTCGGTCAGTCTACTTATCTAGATCATTTTACGACTTGTTAACAACTAACTATAGTCGCATTAAACATTTGTGATGCTCAACCATTTGTGAGACAACGGGACTTTGGCTTGTCAGCCAATAGGAATGCATACATTACTACAGTCCGAACAGTTACTATTTGTCTCAGGCTGTCATTGCGTACTAAACAATACTGATGATCATCGACTACATACAGCCATGTAGCACTGCTTCTATCTGGTGGGATCATCGACTGGATGATGCTGAACTGTGCCCGCTTGTATTTGTCAGTAAACCTGGTGCGACGTGAAAGATGTGAACCGTCCGTGTTGACTTGCTTATGTCTTTCATATTGTTACATATGGCTCGTGGCCATAGATGAAACAGCACACAGGCGTAGTGTGGAACCGCTTAATGATTGCTTCCTACGTTACATTGGCTAGAGATGCCGAAACGAAAAACCAATGATATAAGGAAGGTCATGGTCAACCAATCATTTGAGCGCTTGTGTTCACAATCAATATTCAAATGCATTCGTGACACCCATCTCTTCCCTGGTAAGTACTGCAGACTCCGGGTTGGTACCGATGAACTGGCTTAGACGTGCGTTTTGAAAACCTTAATTCAGATTATTTCGCATCCGTTTTATGGTTCCTTGTTTTGTGAGGTCGATTGTCCATCCGTTTTTGCGTCCCTAGCAGTCGATTGTTGACCCAGTTCATACGATTAGATTTAACGTGGCCGAACATGGTCAAAGGGGCGGCACACCACACGGCCGTCCTCTATCTGTAGCTCCGCTTGGTTACTCGTTGAGGACATAAGTGTAGCAGGTTGCCAGCTTGCTTCGTGAGGCAGTCTCGTGTACATTGGATCAAAATCATAGTGTAAGCAATGGAAGATATGGTGGGCATATTTGCATCCGGGGCGCTGAGGGGTGCTGGTCTGGAGGAGGCAGATGCACCAAAAGAGCGACTTGAAGAGACTGAGATATTCTGTGCCAAATCTCCTTGGCTAGCTAGGCAACTAGTCAATGGGGATGGTCGGCGAATGGTGCTGACAGAAGAGATCTGGAGTGGGACTGGAGAAGCGGCGGAAATACGAGGCAAGGCTTCCTTACAATCATTATAATCCCCAGGTTCTTGTTTGATAGCGCTACTAAGCTGATAATTCCGAGCGTCCGGTACACACACTTTCGTTATTGATAAAGCATCAGATATCGACACGATTCAGCTAAACCTCTTAGTCATCCCACCTCCCACAGTTGAATACTGCCTCTTGAATACGTCAGGTTCTAACAATGTAATACCAACTCTCCTAGACGGATGAACGAACGAGACTCATAATTATTTCTCACACGGCACGGTAACTGACAATCTCGAAGTCTGTGGGTTATCGGAACTTAGCCGCGAAAGATTAATTCACGCGAGTCGAACAGGTTCCTAGACCGAACGCAAAGTTTCTACGCACGATTTCCCAACCCAAGACTGGAACAAGAACAAGACAGGCCTTTGCCACAGGCGCTTTTACTGGCCAAAGCGAAGGCGATTCTAGCGTTCTACAGCCTCATTTTTATCTCACGAAATGGTGATGAAGGGGGGTCTTTCCTTGGAAGGGTTTGCGTAAGCAAACCCTGGAAACAAGAAACATGGTTTTATGTAAATGTGCGAAGTCCGTAAACTGAGCAGAAATGTAGGAAGTTTGGCGAGAGTTGTCCCGAAAAATGAATGTTGCTTGGATACAACAATGCGTGTTTGGTTGGAAACAAGACTGCTTCCTGGTGCAAAGGCTAAACAAAGTGCATGTTACGCGAGTTAGAAGGCTGACTGAAACGTGTGCGTTTTGTCTGGTCTGGGTACATGTGCACTCGAGTGAATCGGGTTTTCAGCCTTCCGTAATTTAAGCCTTTAATAATTATAGGGACATTGGGTCCACATAACACATAGAGACACACTTCCTCTGGCCTCTTGTCATCCCCACACATATTTTCCTGCTCTGCCTCCATTCTACTTCGAGGGTACGGAAAAAGGAGGTGCAGTCTCTTTCGTAGTGGCCTTCCAAACGTCAACTCTCCGAGTGACTTCCCTGTCGACTCAGTCGGTGTCGTGCGATAGGAGAACAGGAGACGATCTAACTTAGTTTGTAGTGTTTCATGAGTCTTCTTGTGGAGATCTCGTTTAACAGTCCGGACTGCACATTCCGCCATTCCATTCGACGCGGGATGATACTCAAGAACTGTTGAAACTCCTCACCGGTAAATGGCGTCCCGTTGTCGGTGCATACCGTCTCTGGAATACCGACGTTTGCGAAGATAGAGCGCATTTCTGCAACTGTAGTTGCAAAAGTCGCATGCGGAACTGAATGTATTTCTACCCATTTAGAATGGGCATCAGACTAAAGTAGGCATATCAACCCATTGGTTGGGCCAAAGTAGTCCATGTGTGCCCGCTGCCAGAGCCTCTCCTGCCAACGTTATGAATGTATCGTTCCGGGAGATCTTTGTCTTCGGTATTTCTAACATAGTTCACAATGTTTCAGCATCCGCTCTATATCCCGGTCAACGTTCGGCCACTAACAGTAACCACGTGCCTGTGCCTTCATCCTGTTTACATCGGGGTGTGCGTCATATAGCTCTCTCAGCAACTGGGGCCGTAGTTCTTCTAGTGGAACTATGCACGAGCCTCAAAATATACAGCCGTCGTATAGACTGAACTAATTACTCCGATAGGCGAATGGTTTCCCTTCGTCTGACGTGCTTGTAGGCCATTCGGTCATCAAGAACCGCTTCACCATCGACAACACAGGGTCCCGGTCCGTCAGGTGTCGCACCACTTCATTTTGGATGGGGGTCTTTTCAATATGTTGCATCAACTTGATAAGCTCCCTGGGTCCACTACTCGTTTTTGTGCTATGCTGCTGCGGGAGGCGACTAAGTGCATCGGCAACAGTATTACTATGTCCGTTTGCATATTGAAATTTGTAGTTATATGCGCTCAAAACTAGTGACCATCTTTGCACGTTGGCTTTCTTTCTCCTCACACAGAAGCGACAGAAATGATTTGTGGTCAGTGTAACGACCAAACGCTGTCGTTAAGATAACGCGTAAAAAACGATCCCAAATTGAGCATGAACAAAGAATGGATTCAAGATCTACGGAGCGATTTACAATGTATTAATTAAATATACAAACACACCTCTATTGTTCGCGTTCTGAGGTGGACAACAACTAGCGCTGGGGCAGCACACAAACGGATAAATTGCAACGAATCGTCACGCCTCGAGCCGACGATAGTGCAAGTAAACCACGTGCAATTGTTGACGGATCACCGGACACATACTGGTTCCTGATTGGAGATAGTATAGACCAATGCACTTGCAAGAATTGATGTCATGGTTAAGCAGGAATGCTTGGTACACATCATGGTCAAGGTCACTCAGTGAACACTGAGTCCGGACCGATAGCACAGGCACACAATAAATAAACGTACTTACATGCACACCTACAGTGAAGGAAACGCATCAGTGCCAAAATCTCGGTGGCCACGAAGTGAGAATGGTTCTTGTGGGTCAATGTTTCACAGATGGTGAACACATACAGGCGGATAAGCAAATATCGACGATATAGTTAGGCGCAGAGTGAATGGCGGTTGTGGGTTAGAAGAATTTCCTATATAACTCCAACTTCCGCTACAGTCAGTATGGATATCAAACTGTCTTCCCCAGATGTATTGATGAAAATGTTTGACTCCGAAAACAATCTTCAAGACCTCTCTGTCCAGTTGGGATTAATTCCTTTCAACGGGTTGCAGGCTGCGAAAAGCAAAAGCGGTTGGACAAAGGGAACCGTCATTCGTCTGGTGGTAAAAGGCTTCGCCTACCCCGCGTGGGGTACCATCACACTGCAGCACTAGAGGCTGGCTCGGATCGAAATGCACGTGACACGGGAAGGCGCTGAACACTTTTTGCATCTGTGAAGGCCTTTCTTTGATCCGGACCTCATGTCTAGGACTTCTTGTGCAACAGTACATACAAAGGCGCAAATGCTGTTGAGGCGTTATGTAAAAAGCGACAATAATGAGCAAACATCTCCCAACATGATCGAAGTTCAGCCTCATTCTTGCCGTCAGATGCGTCAAGGATAGACTTGGCTTTGCCTTCTAACACGTGTAATCCGCTTTTATCGAGTTAGTAACCTAATGAATGAACAGAATCCGAGCAAAACGAACTCTTGGACTTCTTTACTTTGAACCCACTCAATTGTAGACGTTCATGCACAGTGGACAGCGTTTGTAAATGTTCCGCCTTTTTGCCCCTTATGATCAGAATGTCATCAAGGTAAGCGCAAGTGAAAGGAATACGTTCGGTCAGATTGTCAATAATCCTTTGGAATATCGCCGGGGCTGAACTGATTCCGAAGGGTAGACGTTTGTATTGGAATAGACCCATATGGTTACTTATCGTAGTGCATGAGCAAGAGGTTTCGTCTAACTCAGTTTGTAAGCACACGTGACTAAGGTCGATCAGTGTGAACTTTTGTTCGCCTGCCAGCGTAGCATATAGACCCACTATCCGAGATAAAGGATACTTATCTAGAATTGAACAACCATTAACAGTTAGTTTATAGTCACCACAAATACGCACAGAAACATCCGACTTCAGGACTGGAAATATCGGAGCTCCCCACTCACTGTATTGGACTGGCTTGATTGTTCCTGATGATTGCAATCTCTTTATCTCGTCTTCCACCTTTGATCTCAGGGAATGAGGTAGAGTACGTGCCCTGAAAAAGCGGGGCTGAGTTCTCGGCTGTAATTGGATACTAGCCGGATATTAGTTCAATTTTCCCAGTTTGTCATCAAAAATGTCAGAATATTTGTTGAGCACATCCTCCAAGCGTTGTTTACTAGACATGAACTCCACTATCTCTAGCGTAGCCGGGAAACATCTAATCCAGCCGAGCCTGAGTAAATTTGGACAATCATTCGCTGCAACATATGCTTGTAAGGTCTGCTTCTCCCCATGATAATTAACATGAACAGTGCATTTTCCCAGGGCTGGTATCAGTTGCCCGGTGTACGTCCGCAAAGTTGATTCACAGCGGGATAACTTGGGTATTCTTTTAACAGATGCAGCACTGATTATTTTAACTGAGGCATCTGTATCAACTTCCATTTTAACTAAATGACCTATTTCCAGTTGCACAGTATGGGGTGGATGAACGCTACAAATGCTCGACCATGCGTTCCAGATCGTGTTTAGCTGGTCATCGTCAGAAGACTGGACGATTTTCACAGGCTTCTTGGGAAATCGTGACATCGCAACTGTCAGCTCTAGATCAGCAAACTCGGGCCATGTGCCTTAGTTTTCCACACTGGCAGCAGATACTCTGTTTATGACGACGTTTCTCGACTGATAAATGCTGATTTCCTCATCCGTAACGGGTAAAAGTCAATTCAGACCGTCTCGCGGTAACACTTTTTCGGTCGACTGCTTAGATGGTGTTTGTAAGAGGTTACTTACTTTCCTGCGGCTAGCTGCTGTGGCAGGATGAGCCAGCTTCATGAATATCGCGGATTGCAGCTGCCCAAGCGGAACGGCCATCGCAATGAGGTTGGACCTTACCGTATTGCGATGGTTTGCGTGCTTCAGAGATCCATTGAGCTATGCTGGGTGGTGTTTTTTCGCACCTTCAGAGCCACTCATACCAGATAGGTCAGTGATTAGAGGCCAACCAAACTCAGCCTCCCGTTCCTCCAGGTTGGGGGTTGGAATGAGGGTGGCTCCTTATTCCTTAAAACGGACTCTTTGTAGCCTAACGCCAAACCCGCTGCCTTGCGGACAGGTTTTTGAACCAAGGGCTTTGCTTGAGAACCCTAATCATTCTCCTGTCTAGGCTTGGGCAACCCGACAGTATCCTGCCCACGCAATACAATGATTTTCTCTTCAAATAGTTTCTTGATGCTCTGGTCGTCGCAGCGGATAATCAATGGTGTTCTATCTGCTGCATCGACCAGGGTTGATAGGGGTTTGGATGCTACTGCTGAAGCCTACCCATCTTCTTATTCCCTTTCTTACGCTTTTTCACCCATATCGTCCCGTTCCAGCTTCACTTTTCTCCCCCTGTTTTCAACCCCGCAATTCTTGGCCCTCCCTCACCTTGCTTTGATAAGCTTTTACCTTTTGGTTTCAACTCACATGTTGCGGCACAGTAGCTGAGGTGTTTCCCACCTGTAGCTAACGTGTATAAGGATGAATGAAATGAATGAACGGACAATGGCAAGCTCTACGCAGATACTGGTCCAGTGATCTTTCCATTTACGAGCATTATGCACAACCTGGAGTCCCAGAGGTTGAGAAAAAGCTACTAGCATTCTCCAGCTGTCGAACAATATTGTAAGCCCTCTCCCAGCTCATCGTCTCATCTTTCGACTAAAGCCTTTCACGGGCCTGTTGTTTACGGTTATGAAACACTGTAGAGCCATCGCTTCTTCGATTTTGGTGTCTGGAATTTCACTTTACTAACATTCTGGTGGGGCTTGCTGAATACTCCCAATGAAATCATTGACACTTTCTTCATGGTTTTGACGCAGGGTCAAGAAGGAATACTGCGCAGTGTATATGTTCAATCGTGAACCCCATAACCCGCTGAGGACCTCTGGCGCGCTGTTAAGTGTACTCTTCTTTCATACCTGGAGAGCACCAAAATATATTTGGTCTTCATCCCCCAGAAATTGTATCAGTAACCTAATTCTTGTTGTAAAAGGGGTAATAGCTCCAGATAATCCAAAAGTGCGCTTCCAACCCTTCCAGGTAGCCGGTGCTGGTTTTTCAGAAGGAATATTCCAAAATAGTGTGGGAAGGTGCAGCATCGCGATAATTTAACCCAATCGCCAGAATGCTAGGTACGGCCCGTAGCCGATAGACGAAACAAAGCGCGCAGGCATAGTTTGGAACCATTAAATGACTTCTTCTTACAGTACAGTGGCTAGAGTTGCTGCAACAAAAAACCAATGAAATAGTAAAGGTAAAACAAGGTCATCGTCAGCCAATCATGTGGGCGCCTTTGTTCGCGATCAATATTCAAGTGCGTGCGTGACACATGCCTTTTAACCGCTTGCCTACATGCATGTTATGTTTGGACACCGTCTCAGATTGGCGAAATATCGGAGTGTCGTTCGGTGACACAGCACAAAAGCGTGAAGTAAGTGGACGATAGGTTCAGTTACGCTTGTGTATGCTACCTTTCTTGACAGGATAAGTCACGCCAGTGGTTAGAGACCCTATTCTGCATAGCATAATCACGGACTTCATGTTGTTCACTCCACGATTCAACAGCCTCTTGTTTCTCTTTGTGATATCCTCTCTTCATATGACTATGCTCGCGCTGTTCCTTTTGCCACTGCCTTGTGTAGGTATATGAAATCCTTATTTTTCATTTTCTACCGTTTAGTAAACACCACGCACCATACTGTATTTAATAGTCAGTTTTGCTTTAGCAGCGCACTACCAAAAAGCAGAACTTATTGAGCTTGTTCAGCTGTGATATAGTCATTTATGTGTATTTGCACATGTTCAGCACTCAAGTTGCGTTAAAACTAGCTCCTAACCAGTTTGTCCTACTTCCCGGCGCCAGCTGTTTTATCGATGTCAGTCGATATCATAATCAAAACTCCCTTCGCGGACTTGACCATCGTCAAATACTTTCCTATACACACTCTTTTATACTCTTATGTCATCTTTTGATAGCAAAGAAAACGTAGGATCTTCACCAAAACGGTCAGTAACCCAGAACGTTGTTCCAAAGGAGCTCGATCAACAAACCCCTCTAGATTCATCAGCCCAAATGGAATCCACAGATATCGCTAACGCTATCAAGGACTTTAGGCTTCTTGCCGAGGTTGAATCCAGTCGACTGAAGTTGGTGTGTGGTGATTGGAACGGAGTTTTGACTGAAGAATCTGATAAACTTCCACAGTCAGGTAGGTCTTGATTGTTGCAATTCAGGGGCAATCTTTCCCTCTGTTTACTTAACATATTGCTCCCAGCAATAGTAGTGTCATTAATGGTCTCGGGACTGCTGTTCTCTACCTACCTAACTTCGTTTTATTATTCCTTCTATTGGCGTTGCTTTTCACCTTGTGTGGAACGATGTCGTTACTCGATACACCGCACTTTGAGGTGTGTTGTAATTGAGTGGTCTGAACAAATGGACTCCTTAATTTACTCAGGATAGTCCCTGTGGTCACTTATCTAACCAACATTTATTCTTAGTTCACCGGGGACCCACCGAACGCTTTTGCCTGTTATGTTATTTCGCATGGCATTTGCGTCATTATTTCAAACTACCCAACATCTATTAACTGACTTCTGCGACGTACGCGAGGCGATGACCATCCTAGGTTTTTGGGTAGTACCGTCAGTTTACTAAACTTCAGCTCCACTCTTGCCTCGCTTCTGTATACTTCCTTTGTCTCGACGGCGCTTTCGGTCCGATTATTCGTTCCGTTCCGTACTGATTGTGTGGTGGTAGCTTGCGAGCGAGCGAGCAGCACTGACCCCAGGCCGACTTCCTGGCCGTTCATGTCAATAGCCCCAACTCGGTCCGGAATGAGCGTGTCGATAACACTGGTCAACAGTGGTTTTTATAACATTGATGTTATAAGGATATTAGTGCAGTTCATTGTCATTGATTCCGAATCTGGTCTCAGTTTTGCTGGATTGGCTTTGCTTTTTGAGTTAGGTTTCACCGACCGAAGATATAATATGATAGAAAACGGTACAATGTTTTGTGTAAGAATTACATAGCAATTGTTTCTTGTACTACAAGTGCAGTGATAATGTATATCTAATGGTCTTGTATAAACGAAAAATGAAGAACTATTCTACTCAGTTAGTGTATATCATGACAATTAATTCTTTAAAAAACGCTGTTTGCACGATTTTCTGCTATGTTGTTATTTTGAATGCTTCAGCAGTAGCCATCCATCATGTGTCTGTCCGACCTACCTTGATACCTCTTTTCCATCACCTTACTTTCCTTCTGAAACCTACCTTGTTCTTCACTGAGCTCACCAAGATTATCCGGGAGTCTGTCTAATTAACTATGGAGAAAATGTATTTTTATGCTCATGTTACAACCCAGTGTTTAACAGTTTGCATGCATGATCTTCACCAATTCTCCATAGTTGCTTGCTTTATGGTTACCCAGGAAGTTCTAGACAACTGAGACAAATTCATCCCAAACAGATGATTCATCACAGTTCACAAATGGAAAATTCCGTTAAGGAGTTATCGAGTTTGAGGACCATCGAAGACACCAGCTTTTAATGTCTTCATACCTAGTTCAAGGAAATATGTACGATTGTACTCGAAACAACACCATCTTTGCCCAGCATTTTAACAAACTGCTTCATCAAGCCTGACTTTATATGGAGGAGTGCGAGAATAAAGTGTACTGTCAAGTGAACGCCTCTTGATGTTCTCTGTGCCTACTCAGGAGACAGCTTCCCGTCGATCCTTACACGGTTTCGGCAGTCACGATAGAGAGACTTCAGAATGGAAAGAAATTTAGCTGGCACGCCCTTCACGGATAGGCATTGCCACAGGCTGGCGCGGTCAACAGAGTCGAATGCGGCTTTCAAGTCAGGGAAGACCACCATAGTCAGTCGACTGTAAGTGTGTCTGCTCTAATACGTGGCGAAAAGTAAATCTGTGGTCGATGCAACCACGATCAGGTCGGCAGACTGGCTTTCAATGATTCAACTCTGACGAGGGCCAGTAAGTCGTCGAAGAATCATACCCATGTGAACTTTGAAGGAGATGGAAATAAGGCTAATGCCTAGATGATTTTCGCACAAATTTCGTTGACCCCTCTTGAAGATGGTCACAACAATTGGCAGTCACCAGTCCCAAATCGCGTTGTGTAGAGAAGCAAAATCGGTCAACAACGAGGGGCTCCCGTCTTTCAACAAAGATGGAGGAAGGCCCTCGTTTCCAAGAGGCTTTTTTCATTTCCACAAGTCGAGCTCATGTCGAATCTCTTCCAAGTGCGATGTGTAACATCAACATTCCACGTCGACTCAGGCGCTTCGGCAAGGGGCAGTGTCGCATCAGACCTCTGAACTGCACTTCAAATTGTTCCGCTAGTCGACGAAGCTATAAATGGATCAACTGTCCATCTTTCTCAGCTGTTGTCTCGCCAACTGATGCCTTTCTCAGAGCCATTTTCTAAATAGCACTGGCCTTCTACATCTCACGGACCCATGCCATCCTTTATCGTTCCCGTTCGATTCAAAGACTCTTTTTCATACGTCGTTTCGTAGTTACAGACACACTGAAGCTCATTGTGCACCGGAACCTGTTTCTGTGCCTCAATCAAACTGTTCGAGGCCTTAAAGACCCATTCACAGTTACGACGTTTCAAGATAGGTGGGCAGCAGGCGTCAAAAGCCTTCTCCATGGCACATTTGAGACGATCCCAGTCGGCTTTCGGTACACCAACCTCATGCATCACTGACAATCAGTGGGTCACTTCGTCATGATATTCTACGAGTTCAATTTACAGGTGAGAAGGCTTGAAGATAGGCGCTTCTTTGAAGCGGGAAGAGTGAGCACCTGGCGTACGCCGACTACAGAGAGACGGGCATGTGCTCCAAGTTGACCGACAATTTTGGACTGATGTGCGCAATCTGTAGCTGAAGGCACCATGGTTATTTTCGCTCCACATCATCGAAGAATTCGTTGGCCGCCAGGTGACGCGGTGTGGACGATCTGTGGTACAGATATTGTGCCATCAGAAGCATAGCTGAATAGGGTAACAGTATAAAGAATAAGAAAAGAACAACAACAAAAGCTTTTTGTTTGCCCAGTTTACCACTCACAGTTTTTGAAATTATTTTCAGTTTGCTTTTTTTAGGGGGAGGAAGGAGGAACACCGCAACACACCGCCACTGACATCGATCTTGAGCCATGGCTTCCAAGGTCTTCAACCAGCAAGTATCCGCATCTCTCGGACCCCAACCACGTAGTCGACAACAACCAACCGAGGCTTACTGTTTAGTCAGCTTTTTCATGCGGCTTCTCCATGTTGCAGGCTGTCCACCAGACCGTCTTTTCCAGTCCTGTTCAGCAACCGCAAACGCACGACGCGGGTAATGCTGGACAGGCATGCACAATACGTGTCCCAACCACCACAGTTGATGCAGTGTGACGAGCTCCTCGAGCGAGTGGCTTCCACGTCCCAAGACACGCTGTCTAACTTCCACATTGCTTACGTGATGCCGCCACCACACACGGGCAATGGACCGTAGACAGTGGTGCTCGAAGACGGATAGCCTGCGCAAGTCATCTTCACGAATGGGCCAGGTCTCGCATCCGTGCAATAGTACAGCACGAACAATTGCACAATAGACCTGCCCTTTGATGGAGAGACGAATGTCGTGGTGACGCCACAAGTGCCTCATCCTAGAAAAAGCGAGGCGTGCTATTGAGATGAGCATCGAAATCTCGTCTCCAACCGCCCCGCTAGGAGTGATGAAACTTCCCAAGTAGACAAAGCTCTCCACAACCTCTAGTGTCTCACCACCAAGGGTGAGTGCAGGCACAGGCACCTGCCAGTCTTGGAAGAGAGCCTTGCATTTGGATGAGGAAAAGTACATACCATACTTTGATGTTTCAATCGCCAAGCGGTTTAGTGCAAGTTGGACGACGTATGGATCGTCACCCAGCAAGACGATATCGTCAGCATAATCCAAATCAACAGCTCGAGTACCTGAGAGGAGCTCAAAGCCAGCGCTCAACGAATCGCCTAGAGCGTTCTTTAGGACATCATCAATGTCAAAGTTGCAGAGGAACGGAGAGATAGGGCATCCTTGTCGAACTCCACTGGAGATCACAAAGGAAGGCGAAAGCTTGCCATAAGCTCTAACTTTGCCCGAGGTCAGACAATGGAGAGCACACAGTATGGAGACGAACTTCTCGGGGACACGATTCCTCAGTAGGCAGTGCCACAGTGGTCGGCCGGTGGCCGAGTGGTCTGCACGTTTGCTTTGCAACCATAAGGTCACCGGTTCGACTCCGCGTAGGGGTGGGCGTCCTCGCGGTATACAGAGCCCGCGCGCGACTGGTGGTGGTCGCGCGGCAGCTAGCGCCGTTACGGTGTACAGCTGACACATTATTTTTTATTATTTTTAGTGCCACAGTACAGTCCGATCGACAGAATCGAAGGCTGCATGGATATCCAAGGACACAGCAATCGTTGGCCTCTGATATAAATGGCGGAGCTCGAGGATCTGGCGAAGTGTGAAGATTTGATCGATGCAGCCGCGACCAGGGCGAAACCCAGCTTGTTCTTCTCGCTGCAACGATTTGCGCGTTGGGGATAGCCTGCGAAGTCTGATGGACATCAGCAGCTTGCAAACGACGGGGACTAAGCTTATTCCTCTGTAGTTGGAGTGGATTGTGCGCAAGCCCTTTTTGAAAATGGGGATGACTATCGATTCACCCCATGATGATGGAACTTCCTCTTTCAACCAAACTTTCGAGAACAAGGCAATGAGTTCTCGAATCAGCGAAGTGCCGCCGTCTTTATATAGAGCTGGAGGAGAAACAGCAGGGTCGACGGCTTTATAACGCTTCATGTGGCGGAGCTCGTGCTCGATTTCTTGGGAAGAGGGAGAATCTGTGGGGGTAGACCACTCGGTACCAGAGGTAGCAGATGGAGCTGTTGGCCAACAAAACCGCAAGTCAAAATGTTCGGCCCATCGCTCCAACCGTCGTTGAAGATTGGTGATTAAGGTGCCATCCCATCCGCATACTGTTTCACTCATACCAGATCGAACACGTTTGATGACTCAGATGAGATGGGAAAGTTTCTGATATTACCAGAGGGACTAGCAAGCTCCATCTCCCTAGCAAACCCACACCACCAAGCTTCGCGGTCCATTTGCAGACTCCTGCGCAACGCTTGACCCAGGCATTG